GCTACCCATCTTCCATGTGTAATTTTTTTAAATGCTACTTGGTAAACTAATTCTTTCAAGTTTGGGATGGAAAGAGCAGCTGTGATAGAGGAATAACACTGCCTATATCACTAAGAGGACAAAAGCAAGCTCAGGTGGGCAAAGTGAAGGGAAAAGCTCCGTGGCAAAGACACAGAATAGAATCCAAGAAGTCAAAGTCACTCTGAAATGGGAACATAGGTAGAATGCAAAATGATTGGAGTGATCTATGTTAGATATATAGCAAAATCCTTTGGGAAGTGGATTTTTAACAGAACTATCCAGATCATGATTATATAAGTTTGCCCATCTAAAAGGAGACAATTATGTTGTATCTTTAGGCCATATGAGCATTATCCATGGCTTTAGAAAGGGCATGAAAATGGCATATGTAGGACTACATAGGACTTCCATACAGGACTTATTCTTTGCCAACACACACACAAGGAGGAAGGTATATAATCAATGCACTGAAGACTCTCTAATGTGGTTACCATGGCCATCTCCATTTCACAGATTAGAAAACTGAGGTTCAGCCAGGTTAAATAAATTCTCCAAAGTGTTTCAAAGTGGAGCTAACCTTGAACCCTAGCCATCTGGCTTCAGATTGTCTATCTCTGACCTCCTCAAGGTTTGTTTCTGACATAACGGAATGTAGAGCAGCAGGAGTCGAATAGAGGCATTGAGGGGGAGCAGCGTTGTGTTCCAAAAAGTGCTGGCAATAAATACAGCAGATTGGCTGACTGATAAGGATGGAATGGAGTTCGGAAAATTGCATACTCTCATGAAGCAAACATGCACTCGTGTCCTTTCAAAAGTGACAGAAACTATTCAAACTATCCCAGTTTTCTTCTCTCCCATTTCAACATTTACTTCAGACTGTGTCGTCTTAGCAGAATCTTGTTCAAAATTGGCTATGGCATTTCAAGGGCTGCATAAATGTTTAGACACATACACCCTGGAAAAATGTGTTACAGTTACCTTTGTGCATACTAAAAATAAAAAGATGGCTTTGCTAATTGTAAGGCTTATTAGCATCTTACATAGGCACTCTTCACCTTTTGCTTTTTGGTTTTTGCAGATATAAGTATTCAAGTCTAGAATGATTTGGTAGAAGTCACTGGATTGGCTTAGCATCATCTCCAAGAGTCAACATAAAGTTCCTAAGGATGAGCATATTCTCCTTGTCTGGGTGCCATGCCCATTACAGAAACTACAGAATGGTTCCTGGGCCACAGCATAGAACTACTCAGAAACCTGTTAGAAGTGTGTAATCTCAAACTTCACTGCAGATCTGCTACACCAAAATCTGAAATTTGTCCAAACCTGACAGGCAATCCATATGAATACTAAAGTCAAACACATTGTAGTGGTCACTAAATCCATTTTCCAGAAAGTTTAGCTATTTCAAGGGAAGTTGCTGATGAGCTTATGTTGGTCATAAGTAGTTAAGTCTTTTTGTAAGGTATATTCTTAGTATCACTTTGTAATCTACCCTAAAATTATCCTCTTTTTAAATTTTATCTCTGTGTTTGTGTGTGTGCGCTTGTGCCCTCAGAGACCAGAAGAGGGCATCCAATCCCCTGGAGCTAGAGATACAGGCAGTTGTGAACCACCTGATGTAGGTATTGGGAATCAAACAGTTCTCTGTAAGAGCAGTTCACATTCTGACCCACTGAGTCATCTCTCCAGTCCCAAATAATCTTCCTGATGCAAAACTACCTTTAGTACACCTTTATGGGACCTCTAGACCATTCAAAACTGAATTATTCCTTGGTGAGAGGATATAATGTGCAAAACTCAGTCCCTTAGCAGACCCACAAAGAAACAGTCAACAGCCCCCATTTCTGCAATGCCTCTCACTGGTGCCCTTACTTCAAAGCAGATAAACTACCTTTTCCAAATTGCAAAGTAAACACTTTAGTATTGACACACATAAATCTCCACAGAATTTCTACCCAAGTAGAAATAAAACAATCAAAATAATATCAACAGCTACCACTTATGTAGTGTTTACAAAACTGAGTCATAGAGAAATCAAGCCATTTCCTTGAGACCACACAGTCCACACAACTAGTGCATGTTGAGGCATCTTGTCTAGTCTGTCTGTCTCCAGAATCATGACAGATAACCAAGGACCCACAGTGCTTCTAGAAACATATTGCTACTCAAGGTTCCAACAGGGCTTCATTAAAATGCTCTCAAAATAAAGATTGATCATTTACTTTGGAAAATATAATTAGCTTCACAAATTTTACTCAACAAAATGAAACAAGTGAGGCCAACAGCTGCCAAGACTTTACTTCACAAAGGTAAAACATTACTTCTGGTCTCTAAGCCTTGGGTGTAATTGCAGCATCACACTGTCTGTTAGTTGTGCTTTAAAATGCCCTTCTACCTATAACTACAACTGACTCCAAACTCAAAACGTCCTTGTGTTTTCTATAAATGAAAAACCTTCGCAAACGAATTTATATTGTAGGCACTGCATATTTATTAAATCACCAGTTTGATTTCTCCTTTATGCTCCAGGTAGACAAATTGTTTTGGGGTAGAAGGTTAGACAGGGTCTCACTATGTATCTCAACCTGGTCTAGAACTCGACATCCTCCTGTGTCAGCCTAACCAATGCTGTGCTTACAGTTGTGTGTCATCACACCTATATTCTAAATGGAATCTCTCAGACAATTCTAATAGACCCAACCAAGGTCTTGTACCTTGGGCTGAAGTGGAGAGGGAGCCTCCTGCCCTTCAACATCCACTTCAGTGTCCCTTGAATGCAAGTCCCTAGAACTTTAGAGTCCTGGAACAAGTAACAGAAAAATACATAATGAGAAAGATTGCAAGGTTCACTTGTGTACTTCTCTGGTGCACCTTAGTGATGTTCTCTGGCCTTTCATCAGAAGAGCTCATAAGGTTTTTAACTCTCCTCCGCAGAATTAATGTGGGAAAACTTCCAAAAAGCTCAAAAGGGAAGGCTCCATGCTTGATGAATAGAAAGAAATCAGTCACAGAAATACAAAGAGAGGCCACTTTCAACCACACTACAAGGGAGTGAACAATTGTCACATATGCTGAACTGGGAGCAAACATTTTTTTATCCTTCAATTATTTCTATGTGCTCCTAAAACACAAATAAAAGCAAACATATACCAATGTGTGTTTTAAATATAGAACTATGGTTACAATGAAAGGTAAACAAAGCATAGTGAGTCACAGGCAATAATCCAAAACCACTTGGTAATTATGCAATGTTTGTCATTGAGTGATTATTCAATAGCCACTGACAAGCCATAAATTTACCAGATGTCAGTTAGCTGTAACCATTAACTTGACATGGCCTAGTGTCCTCCAAGAAGGGAAGCTCCACTGAGGAATTGCCTGGGTCACATTGGTCTGTAGACATGTATGTGAGAGATTGTGTTGTCAATTGACGAAGAATTATCCAGTTCACTGTAGGTAGCACCATCCTCTAGAAAGGTAGTCCTGGGCCGTCTAAAGAACATAGCTAAGCATGACCCTGCGGAAGCCAGAAAACAATGTTCCTCCACAGTTTTCACATTAAGTTCCTGCTTGATTTCCTTCCCTGATTTCCCTCAGTGGTCTGTAAACTGAAATGAACCCTTTCTTCCTCTAGGTTGCCTTTGGTCAATGTGCTTTTACCACAGCAACAGAGATGAAACTAGACCACTTCAGTTACTAGTTAAAATAGTCTCAAGTGCTAGTTGTTCACTGGAGAATAGCAAAGCAGTTGACACTATTCTGATGCTCTCATTGCCAGGTGCCACATCTCCAGACCCCCTAACAGATTCCCTTGGCTACTTCTACCCTCCACTCCAGAGTCAAAGGCCAAATGAATGACTTTTAGTTGAGGGAGCGTGAAAACCCTACTATCTTGCCTAGGGTGGCTCAGAACAACTCTGCAACATGCTGATCCTGAAAAGTACCCAATGGGTTCTGGTTAAAGCTCTCCATTCCAGTCTTTGCCTGAGACAGTGACATTGCTTAGCATCCCTCCTGATTCATCCAGGTTCTTTTTACTGATTCCCTAGGAGCACTTCCTTTAAGAACATGTACACAGGTTCGAGGTAACCCCACCTATTAGCATCTGTGAGCAAGTTCACTATTACCACAGTTGTCTGCTGTATGCATCCTTAGCTTTCCCAAAAAATTGTTCCAGCAGGTAATTGCTACAATATTTATCATACCTATTTCCTAAATTGATTTTTGTTTCATTAAAAAGTAAGACCCTAACCCAAACTGTAAGTAAATAAAACCCAAACCCAAGTCTTGGTTAAGAAACTATACAGAGCATGTCCCATATAAGTTAAATGAACAGCTAATTTTGATTTATTCTTTAAGATTTTTTTATTTATGTGTGTGTGTGCATTTGTGAGTTTATACCCATGAAGGCCAGAAGAAGGGTTCAGAACTTCTGGGGTTGGAGTTATAAGTGGTTATGTTTCGATGTGGGTTCTGGGAATCAAATCCGGGACCTCTCCAAGAGCAGCAAGTACTCTTATCTGCTGAGCTATCTCTCCAGCCCCAACAGTTCATTTTGTCTTAAAACCCTATAATGTTGCCATGTGCTTTCCTTGCTTACTAAGTGGGCATAAAATAATTGCATGAATCTTTATAGAGTGAAATTGATCCTGGCTTTTGTTTCTATCTATTAAGGTGGACTTAAAAATAACAACAATTAGGGTAAATCTGCACATGCATTAAGATATACCTAAAAGACTGCTTTTCAATCAAACTTTTCATTTTGAGCATACTTTCTTGTATGTATTCCAACTCTATGAGTTTGCAATAGCAAAAAAATTTCTGGATCCCCTTAGGTTGCTCTTATCCTGCCATCTATGAAGCAAGTTCATCCACTGGGACACATTCCATTATAAACTGAGAGCTGACAATGAAGCTAGATCCTCCCTAATGTCCCCACACCCCTCATGTTTCAGAGACACACAACAGGCATGACTTACCTTTATTCCCAAGGCTTCTCCTGAAATGACAGCGACTGTCACACCATCCTTGGTGGGTTTTGGGATCTCTTCATTTTTCAGCTCCTGGTACTGAGGCTCCACCATCTTTTCCGAGCTTCTCAAATTCACCCACAGCTGTAAGCCATGGGCTGGCTCCTCTGAGCAGGGCATCTCAGCATGCAGAATGCCCCGGCCTGCAGTCATCCACTGTAAACACCAGAACAAGAAACTCAATGGAGCACAGCCCCTAACAAGTCTACACATGCAACAAGTACAACACTGTGGCAAAGTGACACATCCAACAAATGCTGCTATCACAGTGCCAGGACAGCTCAAGAAATAACAAATGCCTGATGGTTCCTGGGACTCTTCCAAGTTTCCAAAGCCTTACTTGTATTATATTAAAGTATCGGAATTGGAATTCCTACAAGTGAAAGAATTCTCCACGTGATAGCCTTGAGTTTCAGATTGAGCTCCAAATTAAGGAGTTGCAGCCAGATAGCACTGGGGGTATGATTTGACTTAAGAAAATTGCTGGATGGTGGTGGCGCACGCCTTTAATACCAGCGCTCAGGAGGCAGAGGCAGGCAAATCTCTGTGAGTTCAAGGCCACCCTGGGCTACAAAGCGAGTTCAAGGACAGCCTGGGATGATACACAGAGAAACTCTGTTTTGAAAAACCAAAAAAAAAAAAAAGAAGGGCAACAAACAGTCCTGGGCAAGGGAAATAGCAGTCAGCATTACAGGCCTCGCCAAGCCAACAAAGAAATGTATAGTTGGGAAAAGTGTTCAGGATCACCCTGAAATCAGCAAACAGTTATCATAGGGTTATTTCTGAGCAGAAAACACAACCCTGGGAAAGTCAGTTTCCTGCCATGGAGTACAGTTCCCAGGGAGGGAGGGATGTAGCAATGAACCATCAGCAGACAGCATGTCCATCAACTGATGAACAGGTATGTGAGATTAACTACACATGGGAATGTCCTTAGCATCCACTGCCCTGGAAATGGTAAGTTTGTACTTCTGGTTGTACAATTCCAGTAACAGAGCCCTTACGACTGAAACAGTTGTTGCCTCTGGCTATTAGGCATATTTTTCAAGTGTCTGTTTGTATGTTTGAGAGCATACTGGAGGAATGTTCCAGGCACTAGCCTCAGACTCTGAGGATGAAGGAGTAGAATATGATACATACATTTCCTGCCTGTCTTAGCCTGGATTCCCCTATAGAAGAGCCTGAAACGAGGACCTACACACAGGTTGTTTATTTGAAAAGTGATACAGAAAGCAAAATGGAGGAAGTAGGGAAGGGTGAGACGGTCAAAGGGGAAAGCCACAGAGGAGTGTTCATGAGCAAGTCCCAGCGGTGGAGACCCAGGGCTTAGCTCCCTGCAAATCCTGTAAATAGACTGCAGGAATTATTACTGCCCAGAAGACAGCAAACACTGAGACATTTAGATTACATTTGGCATCCCTTGGTGACCAAGAGCCTCTGGGAGAGGCCCAATGCATTCACTTCAGACAGGGTGCTATGTATGAATACATGGGAACTGTCACTATCTAAACTCAGAAGCAGGCCATCAGTATCATCTTCCACCCAGCCCTTGGAGAGAAAAAAAAACCTTAAACACGACTGCTCAAAACAATCATTATCTCGGTGCTTGGTTGGTATTGTGAAGAATGACAGAGTTCTACCAGAGTACATCAGGTGGCTCAAGCTGCCACCCGAGGCTTCTATCACCAAGCTGGAAGCCAGAGTAAGCACGGACTAGTGGAAAGAAACAGGAGAGGGAGTCCATATAAAGGAAACAGCAACATGAGAATAGAGTCTGAGACAATTGTGAGGACCCGAAAGAAACCCACTACAAAGTTTGGAGATTTCTTTACTCCATTAAGTCTAAATACATTTCTCTCTATTCTGTTGGGCAAGGCTTATAGAACCTTCTAATGGGGAGATCCAATTGATTTTTTTCTGTCTGACAATAGCTATTGGTGTTCCTCAAAGACCTCTTCCTATTTTCTTCCTCCACTAAAAATTCCTCTTGGTATTTTTTATTTATTCTTTGATAATTTCTTACATTTATACAATGTATTTTAACAATAGCCAACTCAAATCCCCTCCCAGAGTTTCAATCTCCTGATTAACCTTTATACTTCTCTTTCCATCCTCATCATTTACTAACTCTGAAGCTTTTCAACTAACTCAAAGACCATTTCACTTTTAAATACCTATTAATCACTATTCTCTCATTTAAAGCTGTCATGTAAAATACTAATGATCTCAAAGGGCTCATGCAGATGGAAATGTTGAAGAAGCCGAAAGATGCTATGCCATTATTACCCTAAGCAAATGTGAAGCCTGTTTTGTTATTGTTGTTACTGTGCTTGTTTTGAGATGTAACTCAGGCTGGCCTTAAACTCTTGATCCCCCACCTCCATGTTCTGGGATTACAGACATAAACTGCCATGCCCAGGTCCCAGCTGAGAAATTAAAATGGTCAAAGTGTGGACCAGCATCTACAAGGCAGCCTGATGGGGCAAACAGCAGAAGTCACCAATTCCATGACCATCACATGCCCTGGAGCTTTTGTTGATCTCTTCAAGTAAATTCTGTTTTATGCTCTGCTCTATCATGAGGCTCCCTCTTCTTTCATGATAGCATTTTCCTTTTCCCTTTGTTTTCTATTTCATTTTCATTGAAACACAATGATCCAATATGTATACTTCCCATCCCACAAAGCATGTGGTCTGATATAGAGCTCCTACCTACATAACTGACTAAGAAGATCTAAGCAGTTTCAGGGGATTTAAATTATGTCATCAGAAATATAAGCAATGGCACACTTGAGTTAATTTTTTAAATAGGGTCTTACTATGTAACCTGGCTACCCCGAAACTCACTAAGTAAACCGAGCTGGTGAGCTCACAGAGATCCACTTACCTCTGGTATTGGTAGCCTCCTGAGTACTGGTATTAAAGGTGTGAGCCACCTTGCCTGACCTTGGGTTACTAACTTAAGTGACCACACTGAAGCATGCAAATGAATTGAAACATAAATAATGAATTGTCGAAAGTGCAGAACAGAAGTCTAGAAAGACTGAATTGAAATGTTCCTCAGCTGCTGAATTTGGCAGTAGAGACATCATAAATGATCACTACCCGCACAGCTTCAATACAGGCTGAAGGGGATGATGCAGACAGACCAGCTATGGCTTCAGTGACTTGAGGAAGAAGTGGCATTTGGTACAGTAACTCTTGATTACACTTTGAGAAAAGTAAAAACGAACAAAATAACAACAGCAAAACAAAGACCGGGTAAGCACTAAACAGTGATTGGGGATATACAAAACTGACATGGCTCAGCAGGTAAAGGCACTCGCTGCCAACCTGACAACCTGAGTTCAATCCATGGCATCCACTTGGTAGAAGGAGAGAACCAACTCCCACAAGTTGTCCTTCGAGGACTACACATGTGCCTCTGCATGCACTTGCATGCATACACATATGAATAAATAAATGTAATAAAAGTATCTTCAAAGATGCATTTGATCCCAAGCACCACAAGAAAAAAGAGATTGAGGGGTTAATGAAAACATGAGAATAGAATACAGGAGATCTGTGTTGGTTTCCAGGCAGAATGGAAGAATGCACAGAAAGTGGAGTATGATGGCTAGCTAGTGTTCTCAGCTTGATAGACTCTGTAATAACCTGGGAGACAGGCCTCTGCGCATGCCTGTAGGGGATTATCTTGATGTGTTAGCTGATTAGTAATACCATCCTGCCTGAGGCAGGGCTATTTTTTTTTGCAGGGGATCCTGAACTGTAAGAAATGGAGAGAACTGAACACTAGCATGCACTCATTGCTCTCTGCTTCTGCTTATGGGTGTAATATGAGCAGCTGCTTCAAGCTCCTGGAGCCTTGACTTCCCTGCCATGATGGACTATAGCTTTGTTATGTAGCTAGACTGGTATTAGGACCCTTGGAAAACACTGAAGAGAAACGCTGCCCTCAAGGTCAGCTTTGGCCCCCAAACACCTCTTTCCCTGGTAATACTGTGGAAGGAAAAGTATCCATTTTGCCCTTTCCTAAAATTTAAAGTACTCTATGACGAGGGGAGGTTTCAGAGTTTTGTTGAGGCCCACTAAGGGAAAGCTACTTCCTCTTATCAAAAGAACCGTATCTGAGTTCTACCCCTGGCCTTGGATAGAGACATGGCCTTCTGATCATCCTTAAAGATTGGAACATTGTATTCTTTTTCTCCTCTCTTAAGAATTAATCCAAATGGACCTGTCAGTCACATAGCCACAAGAGCCCCCCCCCCAAGAAATCTAATTCACCAGAAGACAGGCTAAGGAGATAGAAGGGATAACTATCCCCTTAGTGCACTCACACACCACAGAAGCTCCTCCCTCAGATCTTCCCCCACCGAGCCTGCACACTCTCCTTTTCTTTCCTTCTATCTCTTATGTAGATAGTGACCAAAAGCCTAAGCATGCTTTTCCTGATACGCTGGACTTTCTCACGCTTTCCCTCCCCCTCCAACATACAGCTGCATGCCAACATGATGAATTTTGCTCAACATGCTGACTTTCATAGACCCTAACTCAAAAAGACATGACTCTCTCAGCTTCTCCATCTCCATCTTGCTGACAGCTGCTAAGTTTCACAGCTTGCCTGCACTGTTGTCTTTCTCTCAAATACTAATAAATTGTCTCAGGTGCCCATCTGGGTCTTCTTTTTTTAAATTCTTTATCAGTGAGACTAAAAATTAACAAAAGAGACCCCTGTTTTCCCTGGTAACACCAAAAAACTGTGAACTAAAAGCAACTCTTTCTCCTTTAAGGTGTTTTTGTTGGGATACTCTGTCATAGCAACAGAAAAGAAACTAAGACAGGAGAGATCAAGGTATGAGCATGAGAGAAGTGGGAGGAAGGATTAATGTACCAGAAATAGGCGAGATCAAACATATGGCATCTAAGATCGCTAACCAATCAGCGATCCCCTTTCATGGCCATACCTGTAGGTCTCCTGGGTTCATTTTACCAACATGCCCGCAGAAGTCTTCATGGGCCATGCTGCCCCCTTCCAGAAGGTAAGAAACCTTTAAAAAACAGAAGAAAAAGTTGATCCTTTGATTGTAGAATCAGATTGCTTGGGGCCTTCACTATTGACTTGCACCAGTTCCATATTTATTTTAGATATGAAACACTATCTTTGTAAAACATTTTTCCTATTTCAAGTTGCTTTTCCATTAAAATAATGGACAAAGGATATGAATAGACATTTTTCCAAAGAAAACATGCAAATGGCTGGTGGGTATTGGAAGAAATACTCACTATCACTAATCAGAGAAATGCAAATCAAAACCACATGGTACATCACCTCACACCTGTTAGGTACATACTATCAGAGTCAAAACATAGGTAATTGTTGAAAAGAATTCGGGAATGGAAACCACATATATATATTGTTGGTGGAAAGTGGTCCAGACACCAGAGAAAACAGAATGAAGGTTATTTTAAAAATCTAAAAGTATAATTATCACATGATTCCACTCTCTCAATCCTTGGTATATACCAAAACCAAATGAATTCATCATAGGAAACACATACCATCATACTAATGTTTACTGTCGTACTTACTATTCATAATAACCATGATTTGGAATCAGTTCAGGTGTCCAACAACAAATGAATTGATAATGAAATGCAACACACACATGCACACAAAGTGCAGAATGACTCAGAGCCTTACAAGGGGAAGACAGCCTGCTATTGTTTATAGTATGGCTAAAGCCGGAAGATATTACATGAATGAAATCAAACAGACACAAAAAGGCAAGTACTGCATGATCTCACTTATAGAAATTGAGATTAAAGGGTTAGTTACTAAGGATTGAAATGGAAGAAATACAGAAATGTAGGTCAGAGGCCCACAGTTATGTGATAAATAAGTCCTCGGGGCCCAATGCATAGCATGTGATTGAAATCAATAATACTGCATATGATATGATGGGGCTGGAGATATGGCTCAGTGGGTAAAGTGCATTCTATGAAATCCCAAGAACCCGAGTTTGATCCTGAGGACAGCCAGGCATGGTAGATACCCGTAATCCCAGTGCTGGGGAGGTAAAGATAGACAGATCCTTGGGACTCACTGCTCAGTCAACCTGGCCTACTTGGCAAGCTCCAAGCCCATGAGAGGCCATATAGCTTGAAAAGGTAGATAGTTCATAACAACAACACACCCAAGTTTGGCTTCTGGCCTTCACTCACAAACAAAAACATGTACACACATAAATACACACACGATAACCTTGTGAGATGATAATCATTACACAATACATCCAGGCATGCATCAAAACACTGCAATGCATGCATGCATCAAAATATTGCAATATATGGAATTGTAACATTATAGCTTAATAAAGCGTGAAGGAGGAAAGGATTGAGTAGTTGTGACGATCTATTCAACTTGTCCATCAAAGACTTGTTAGAAGAACTAAGACAGGAGAGCAAATGAGAAAATGAATTTGTGACAGGGGGTCAGACTATCCACAACACATAATGCCTTTAAGCGAATTTCACTATGTCCCATCCAGAGCTCATAGCCAATTAAAGCAGCACTCACCCTGAAGGCCCAGTACAGTACATGACATGCCTCCCACAGCAAGGCCTGAAGCTCAGGTTAAAACAAGCCTGTTCTTGGACTAGCAATGTCCCTGCTAGGAGGCCATGTTCACAGAGGTGTATGGAGTGACATCTTAGGTCGCCATGCCTTGCCCTAAAGGCAATTCAGGAAACCCAAAGGAAACATTTCTGACACCAGGTACACAGACCCAGTAGACGCTCAAAATGTTTCTGACATATGTCAAGTAGTTTCAAATTGAAGTCAGTGCTTCCAGATTCATGTGCATACTAAATCTAAAACTGAAAATAAATGCTATGTGTCCCAAAGAGTGGCTACTAGCCACATTCAGCTGCTTACATTTCACTTAAATCAAACTCATAACATTTCAATTCAGCACCTCAGGTGCACCAGCCACACTCTGAGTGCTCAATAGCCTCCTGTAGCTAATGGCTGCCATAATTACAGTGTAGATTATAAAACATTTCTATCTCTGCAGAGTTCTATTTGCCACTCTGATCTAGACAAATGAATTTGAAAATTAGATTTCAGCAACAGTGGGAATTTTGTACAGAGTAGAAAACCTCCCAAACCAGCAGCATTCTAATTGGCCTCTCTTATTTCATTATTTAATCAAAAGGAAAAAATGAACTCTAAAATTCTCCTCTTTAAGGGTCTTGTAATCAAATCAGAGAAAAAAGATTAAAGAGACACCAAATACTTGGAACATCTAATTACTTCAAAGACATGCTCTTACTGTTACAGGAAATATTCAAGTTAGTACCGGAGGCTTCAAGTGTGTGGGGGTCAAGATGCAAGGTTCTCTCGCATGGCTTATTTAAACTAGTTAATCTGCATGCACCTATAACCCCTGAAAGAGTTACTATTAAGCCAGCAGCTGTAAAGGGCATAGGAATGGTTCTCTGAATACTACCCACCTCAGGCTTAACAGTAACAATGATGGACAGTCTCATAACTGGATGCATTTTTCATACTTCAGTTGTCTCTGTGTATTCTCTTTAAACCTTAAAATGATTATCCTTTATCTTGAAAACTTTATTTAAAATTGTCATTAGCAATTATTATTATTATACAAGTGAACCAGAAGAATGAAATATCTGATTAAAATCCCAATATCCACTGTTGGGATTTTAATTTTCACTCAGGTATACCAGACCGAGTAAAAGGTGCTTTTTAATTTAAAAATCATTTTTAAAAATCAGTAATTACAAATTAATTATCCTTTCTACCAACCTCTTAAACTAACAACTTTTACCAACTCTCTAAACCCTAACTTGTAAAACCACAAAAAGAAAAAGAATAACACTATATTTTTCAAAAGAAAGCCAAAACAAATTCCCAAGAATATGTTTTCAGTAGCTATCAAATACTGCATCATCAATCACCGTCATCATTATTATATGTGTAAGGATGTTTTGCCTGCATACGTGTCTTGTGTACCATATGCATGTTTGGGTGCTGTTGGAGGACTCGAGAAGGCATAAGACCCCCTGAAATTGGAGTTGTGGCAGTTGAGAGTCACCAAGTGGGTGCTGGGATAACCTAAAGGTGGTGACAGAATTCTATTGGGTAGGGTTCATGACGAATGCATAGAAGAAATGGATATGAACAAGAGCATTCATCTCTCTCTGCTTCCTGACTTGATGCAGCATAACTGCCACCTCAAGCTCCTGCCATCATGCCTTCCGCACCATGGTGGATTATGACATAAGCTCAAACTATAAGCAAATAAACCCTTCTTTCTTTGGGTTGTTTTTATTGGGTGTTATAGGAAAAGATGGGAATGTGCCAGGGAAAAGGGTACCAGTGACAGTGGGCAAGAAGGTTATTCCATGAAGACATGGAGGCTAATAAATGAGTAAAAAATCAAGAGTGGGGAGAAGTTTCCTTCACTCCTATCCAGATCTCCCTGTTCTATCTCCCTGCTTATATGCAGGGAGTACCCCCACTTCCCCCTTTTCTACCCGCATGCCACATAGTAGTTGGGGAAGGGGAAAAATGAGAACAATGTAAAATGACACATACATTTGAAGATGCCATGATGAGTCTCTTACCTCGTATGTTTACCTAGAAAGTTAATTAAACAAGAAAATGTCTAATATATAAAAATTAAATATAAGTATGGAAGAAGCAGCAGGTTAAATAAGAATTATATTTTACACTTGATCATGGACAAAAGGCCAAGAAGTGGTAATAATTATATGTTAAAGTAGTCAAATACAACAATACATTTAAATTCATCAAATGAAATTTCATCCTGTGATTATTAGTCTACATAGAGATGTCCATACGTATATATATGGACAATGTCAATGCTAGTCATCTGAAGATGATAAATGCATACATGGGTTATTATTTTCTTTCCACTGTTGTGATAATTTGAATTTTCTATAATGAATAATCCCCCAACAGAAACATGCATTCTTATTCTGAAAACAGTAAAAATGAGTGCTATGGATTGGTCATTATAGATTTGCTCCCCAGCTAAATGAGCAGGGCTGGGCGGGAAGGCAACAGCAAGCATGATTCTCTGTGCTTCCATGTGAGGATAACGTAGCACAGACTTTCTCATGGACAGTATTTAATTTTTATGGAGGCACTCATGCCAGAATGGGAATAAAGCATTTGGGATTCGATAAGAACTTTAAGGGGACAGATAGCAAGCTCCCGATTTTCAAAGAAGCAGTGTCTACAATTGCTTTCCTGTTTTTGCTACAGATGGATTTTCAACTAAAATAATTGCAGGAAGAAAGGCAATTTCCCTTTTGCTTGGGCTGAGGCTCTCCTTTGGGCTCTCAAAGAAGACCCTCTTAAATCACAGCCACAGATTATCTTCAATTACTCAAGCATGAAGTCTTTCACTTTGCAAGCCATAACCATTATACAGACACACATATATGTGTGTGTTATATGTTCATACACATATGCACATCTATACATAGAGAGATAACTTGAAAAGTAAATTGTGATATGACTCATTTGCACATGAAAATATATTTAAGAGAAGGTTATTTTCAAGTTTGGTTTCAGGGAGCACTTGCAAACGGTTCTTAGAGCATGGAAAGAAAGTCATACCCCTTTTCCTGATGCTTTCCCCAATGTGCCCTTCCTCTTTTCCCTGGTAATACAAAAGAAAACATCGTTTGTTATAAAATCTGAGTTAGAGACATCTGGCCAGTGACGCTTTACTGGATGTACCACACCTATCTTTCAAAGCTTAAAGCAAAAATTCTCCAGGTTCCAAAGAAAGTGTTGACATTTTATTTAGTATAGTCTTTTGTTTTGTTTATTTATTTATTGCTAGTTGTCATAGATGCTTGACAGCAACTTTGTGTATGAGCTGTTGTCTGTAGAAGAACTTTAAACAAAAAAGAAAAACCTCAAGCAGCTACTTTTGAGAGTTGAGACAAGCCAGATGATCTTTTAGGGCATTATGTAATCACAAACACCTGG